GCCTTGCATGCATGAGGCCCTGGGTTCGATTCCTCAGCACCACATAAGCAGAAAAAGCTGGAAGTGGCGCTGTGGCTCAAGTGGTAGAGCACTAGCCTCGAGCTGAAGAGCTGAGGGACAGTGCCCAGGCCCAGGGTTCAGGCCCCATGACTGGCAAAAACAAAAAAAGAAAAAACAAAAGCAAAGCCTAGTAGTGCTGAAATAATTAGAAATGAGGATTAGCCTAGCATGTATAAACCTGGATTACATAATGAATTCATGGCCTCAGAAAAGACTGACAGACAGAGGTGGGGGGGAGGGGGGAGAGAAAGAGGATTGGAGGAGGAGGAAAAAGTAGAGGAGGGAAAGGAAGTATTGAGAGAGGGAGAGAGGAAAGGAAAAGAAGAGGGAAAAAGAGAGAATTGAGATATGTTCTAAAAGCACTTGAACTTGCGGTTTTCAGGTGGTTAATTGGAGATAAGAGTCTCACAGACTTTTTTGCTCCAGCTGGCTTTGAACTGCGATCCTCAGATCTCAGCCTCCTGAGTAGCTAGGATTACAAGGAGTGAGCCACCAGCACCCGGCTCAGTTGTAGTTTTTGTACTGATGGTTTGGTATTAAACCTTGATGTTGGACAGCAGCACCCAGACCCAGAGTTCAAGTCCCACAACCGACCAAAAAAAAAAACCCTTGATGTTAGGGCTAAGAATGTGGCTTAGTGGTAGAGTGCTTGTGCAGCATGCATGAAGCCCTGGGTTCAATTCCTCAGTACCACATAAACAGCAAAGCCAAGACTGGCCAAAACAAAACAAAGCAAAAAACCCTTGATGTTAGAGATAATGAGTCACTGTGTCAGCAGCTTTAAATAAACCATTTCTGCTCAGCTCAGAAAGGCAGTTTACCAAACTCTACAACCCATCAGCGTGTTTGGAAGAATAGCCCTCGGTACCTGTTAAATGGCTCTTCAGGAGAAAGAGATGACTTGCTACTGGAATGCCTGCAGAAGGAGAAGTTTCTATGTGAGTAATAATCAGTCTGTATGATCCCTAGAACCTTACGAACCTGACAGCCCCCACAGGAATTCAGAGGCTGTTGTCTGATGGCAGAGAGGCCAGGGAGCAGCCTTGGCTTCTATTTTTTCCCTCAGAAATGTTATGTTCTCTCTAGTTCTATATTATAATTTATAATTTTAAATTCAAGTATTGTGCCCTCTCAATTTTCTTCCTCAAGACTTTTGACAATTTATCCAGGCACAGTTTGTAGGTTATACAGAATTTTAACATTTTATGATTATAAATTATGAAGAAATAAGGAGAAATGTATCATAGCATTACACATCTCCTATGATACTTTGATACAGTAAGTAATTTAAAGTTATGTAAAGTTTCAAAGAAGGAAACATTGTTCACATATTTCCTCTTCCCATTGGCAGATTCATTTAGGCTGACTTCACCACTTCTTCGAAGCAGACAACTTCTTTGTGATGAGTTGGATGAAGTAAACCCACACCTTCGAGAACCCCGAGAGCTTTTTTCTAATTTGTCTAGTAGAGGTCCACTGCAGGCTCCAAGATGGCCAGTAGAATGTGAAGTCATCAAAGAGAACATTCATCATATTGGTAATGTGACTTGTGCATCGTGTTTTTACTATTTTTCCCAACTTTATTACAAGGCCTTAGGATTTAAAGTCCTGTATGCTAAAGTACAAGGCAGGACAGTCAACATCTTTCACCTTGAAATGATAAAAGTGGGAAACTGAAGCCAGGTATGGTGGTCCAAAATTGTAATCCTAACTACTTGGGAAGTGGAGATTAGGGGATCAGGATTCCCAATCAGTGCAATCACAAAAGTTCACAAGACTCCATCTCAACCAATGGTTCAGTTCAAAAGTGTTTCCTGTTATCGAAGCCAAAAGGAAAGCCCAGTGGCTAGGCACAATGGCATTTTACCTGTCATCCCCAGCAGCACAGAGAAGCCCAAGAAAGAGGACTGCAGCTAGACCAAGCATAAAGTGACCAATGCAAAAGGATCTGAGGGTGTGGCTCAAGTGGCTGAGTAGCACAAGGCCCCCGTGAAGCCTTTACAGAAGTGACTTTCGTTGCAAAGTGGGGACTTTTTTTTAAATTTTATTTTATTGTAAAGATGCTGTACAGAGGGGTTACAGTTACATGAGTAAGGTAATGAATACATTTCTTGTGGAGCATTCTTACCCCCTCCTTTCCTTTGTTGTTTTCCCACTATCCCTTCCCTCCTTCAAAGTGGAGACTTCCTAACTATTGGCATACCTAACATTAGGGCTCTGCTTTAGACTGCTGGATAAACAACTGGATGTTTCTCATATTCTCATTGACTTCTTCGCATTCACTGGAGTTCCCTGGATGGTTGCTGGCCTTGGAGGATAGTTTGAGTTAGAAATGAGCCAGTTGACAGGAAGGTGTTCTAGCTGGAGGAAATTGGAAAGGAAGATGGCATCTTTGAACAGCCATGGAACACTGAACGTGAGACAAGATTCAGTGTCCTCAACTGGAAGAAGCACGGCGCCTTGAGTGTGTGGACATTTTTTGTTTTTTGTTTTTGTTGGTCGTGGGGCTTGAACTCTGGGCCTGGGCGCTGTCCCTCAGCTCTTCAGCTCAAGGCGAGCGCTCTACCACTTGAGCTACAGCGCCACTTCCGGTTTTCTGGTGGTTTATTGGAGATAGGAGTCTCACGGTCTCTCCTGTCCGGGCTGGCTTTGAACCGCGATCCTCAGATCTCAGCCTCCTGAGTAGCTAGGATTACAGGCGTGAGCCACCAGCACCGGCTTGTGTGGACATTTTGAATTGCAGTGACTGGGAGTCATACACTCTATACAGTTTTTGTATAAAAGTACAAGTTCATGTGGCCAAACAACATGATTTTAATATTCCTCCTATTCTTTTTTTCCTCCAAATATTCCTTTATTGAGATTGTGATTACATAAATTTCACAGTATTGTGGCATAGTTATACTTAGCTAAAGTCACAAACACCTTCTAACCTTCACAATGAAAATCATCATTATCTTAATCTACAAAGCTTATGAACTCTATGAACTTTAACAATATTTCTACTGAATCAGGTGATATGTACATTTCTTTCCTTTTGCTTAGTGTCAGCCGTTCCCTCTTTCCCTCTCATCCCCTCCCTCCCATCGTCACCCTTGAGTTGCTAAGTTCACTTTCATCAATGTCCAGTGCAGCTGATGGGCCCCTCTGTTGTATTTTTCCCCTGTTTTCCTCTAATTCTGTGCCCAGCTTTCCTCAGATGTGCACATGTATATACCATATATGAGGTGAAGAATATAGAGTCAAGCTGGGTGCTAGTGGCTCACGCCTGTAATCCTAACTACTCAAGAGGCTGAGATCTGAGGATCACAGTTCAAAGCCAGCCCGGGTAACAGAGTCCATGAGATTCTTATCTCCAATAAACCACCAGAAAACCTGAAGTGGCACTGTGGCTCAAGTGGTAGAGCGCTAGTCTTGAGTTGAAGAGCTGAGGGACAGCTCCCAGGCCCAAAGTTCAAGCCCCATGACTGAAAAAAAAAGAAAAAAAGAATATAACATCATCTAAAAACGTTAAGACAAATTAAGAAGAGGTACTTGGGTATTACAATTTGGTGTTATTCTTCCAAGATGGACCTCTTTTGGTTTCACTGTGTATGGGTATCTTGAGTCCTGTTTACTTTTTCCTATCTTGTTGTATTTGGAATGTAACATCCACATATCAGGAGACCATATGCAGTTTGTCTCTGATCTTGTCTTATGTCTTGCTCAACACAATTTGTTCTAGTTCTATCCGTTTCCCTGCAAATGTCATTATTTCATTCTTTTCTAATGGCTGTGTAAAATTCCACTGTGAGAGGGCAACAGTCGCTCACCCCTGTAATCCTAGCTTTTCAGGAGGCTGAGATCTGAGGATCACAGTTCAAAGCCAACCCAGGCAGGAAAGACCGTGAGACTCTTAGCTCCCATAAAACCACCAGAAAACCAGAAGTGACACTGGCTCAAATGGTAGAGCACTAGCCTTAAGCTGAAGAACTGAGAGCTGCATCTAGGCCCAGAGTTCAAGCCCCACAACTGACCGAAGGGGGGAAAAAAGAATCTCACAGATTTGCTGCAGGGGCTGGCATCAAACCTCATTTCTCTTGTTTCTCAGGTCTCAGCTTCCTGAGTAACTGGATTATAGGCATGAGCCACTGGCTTTTGTGTATGCTTTTTGTTAAATCTCTTTATAGTCTTTATGGAAAAAAGCTGATGTAATTAATTTACAAATAAGCTTGGTACAAGAATGTGGCATGAGTCAACCAACTCAACCATTTGATCAGTTATTACAGTTTTGTGTCAATTGTAATAGTGCCTTTTGCATTATTTCTTATTTGTATTATTTCTTATTTTCAGAATGGGTTCCACCTCAACCAGAATATTTCTATCAACCTACAGGAAATGAAAGGGTACCTGAAGTTGTAGGAGAAGAGAAAGGCACGGTTGTCTATCAGTTAGATTCAGGTATTATCATTATATTGGACAATGAATGATTAATCATTATAAAGTTATAATAAATCTATTTTTTATAATAATAATGATTTATCAATCCATGATTTAATGTTAATTAAACTGTCTGGTCCAGTTTATCCTGAATGGGAGTTCAGATAGTCACAAATAATCAGGCCTAAATTTTCTGTTTTTTAAATGATAGTACATTTTTCTTAATAGTTCTAAGTTCATTTTGTAGTTTCTCTCATTATTCCTTTCTTGGAAAAAAAGGTGTTGCATCATCTTTGGGAGCTTGCTCTTTTCTTCACTGTCTCATGTACATGAGTAGTTAGTTGTCTCCAAAAGCAGCAAATTAAACCCAACACTAGCAGAATGAAGGAAATAATAATGATCAAGAATAGAAATTAAAAAACTGAGTGAATTTGATCTAACTATACTGTACATTTGTATGGAAATGTCACACAATGAAACCTCTTTATACAGCTAATATCTGCTAAAAAAGGGAGAGAGAGCCAGGCGCCAGTGGCTCACTCCTGTAATCCTCACTACTCAGGAGGCTGAGATCTGAGAATTGTGGTTTAAAGCCAGCCTGGGCAAGAAAGGCCATGAAATTCTTTATCACCAATAAACAACCAGAAAACTGGAAGTGGTGCTGTGGTTCAAGTGGTAGAACAATAGCCTCGAGCTGAAGAGCTGAGGGACAGTGCTCAGGCCCAGAGTTCAAGCCCCATGACCAACCAAAAGAGAGAGAGAAAAGAAGAAGAGGGAGGAGGAGGAGGAAAAGAAAAGAAAGAGAAAGAAAAAGAAGAAAATTGGCAAAATAGAAAATCAACCCAGAAGTTAGATTTTTGGTGGCATCAACAAAATTGGCAAAACTTTAGCTAAACCAAACAAGAAAAAGGGAAAGGAGACACAAATTGTCAAAATCAAGAAGAAAGATATAACTACCAAACGAATTACAGGATAATACTATTAACAAATGCATGCAAACAAGTGAAAACAAATTAAATGAACAGGCTAAATTACTATACACAAACAAATTACACAAACTGACTGACAACATTCATTCTAATTCTGTGAAACAGGGAAAGATGAAATCACACCAGTTCTTTACAATCTCTGAAGATGGAAGGAAAACTAGGAAAACTTGCTTTCTTTTTTTTTGGGGGGGGGGGGGAGGTCTGGTTGTGGGGCCTGAATTCTGGGCCTGGGCGCTGTCCCTCAGCTCTTCAGCTCAAGGTTAGCGCTCTACCACTTGAGCCACAGCACCACTTCCGGCTTTTTTCATTTTGCTTTATGTGGTGCTGAGGAATTGAACCCAGGGCCTCATGCATGCAAGGCAAGCGCTCTACCACTGAGCCATCTTCCCAGCCCCGGAAGGAAAACTTTCTACAAAAAAGAAAAAAAAAAACTTTCTACAAAGCCAAAGACCTCAAAAACTTGCAGACCAATATTCCTCATGCATCTAAATGAGTAAATTCTCAACAGAGGAGTATCATACCCAATCCAGAAATGAGTATAAAGGAGCATATATTGCAACCACATGGGATTTATAATTAGAATGTAAGGTTGTTTTAACATCTGAAAAATAATTATGAAATACAAAATTTTTTGAAGTACAACATTTTAATAGAATAAAAAACAAGAGCAATACAACTCAGAAAAACATTTGATAAAAATAGCAATGCAAGAGCTCCAGAAATTTGTCTCAAGTGAAGCAACCTCTAACCTGGCAGAAGCTCACAAAATCAGCCTTTCAGACCTCTACAGTCTAATTACAAGCAGACTTAGTGAACAGCCTCGAAAGTGTGGCATTTTCATGGTGGGTAGGGAAGATAGATCACATCCTCAAAACTCCATGGCTGTAAGGTTTTTTTATGCCTGTTTCTCAACTCCCTAAGGAACCAGAGCAAAGGCTATCATTTGTTTCTCTCTCTTCAAGCTGGAATCCTTTTTCTAGATGGCATCTATCAGGAAAAAAAATATGTCAAACACTGCACATAGCCATTTTAGGGCAATGGATGGAAAATAGGGCAAACAGCAAACAAGTACAAATGCCTGGGAAGAAAAAGGTCTAGAAAATCCTTCGGGAAAGGAAGACTCAGAAATGCTACCACGTATATTAGACAGGGCAACAGACATGGCCAGGATTGAGCCCAAGTTCAGAAAATACACAGGAGTCTAGGTTTCTGCCTTTGGCTGGGCTTCGAGCTTCATGCAAAGGAGGAGGTAAAGGCTAAATTTGAGTGTTTGCAGCCTGGCTTAGTATTGAGGAGTGCCCCTTCCTTCCTTCCTTCCTTCCTTCCTTCCTTCCTTCCTTCCTTCCTTCCTTCCTTCCCTCCCTCCCTCCCTCCTTCCCATTGAGGTACTGGAGCTTTGTAAAAAAGTTCCCTACACCAGCCATGTGTGGTACCACATCTGTAATCCAGCTACTTCAAAAGCAGAAGTAGAAGGATAACAGCTCGGCGGTCAGCCAGGTCAACCCAGTGAGACCCTGGCTTGGAAAGGAAAACAATAACATGAATTTCTCCACACTAGGAAATGTTGTATTGAAGAAATAGGAAGCAAGAAAAATGTGCAATTCTGGGATTTGAACTAAAGAGTCTTACATTTGCTTGACTTGTTTGCTTTGTTGGAAACTATCACTTGAGCCATACTAGCACGAAGAGCCCTGCTCTTTGCCAGTTATTTTTAGAGAAGGGGTATCCTGGACTTTTCTGCCTGGCTTCAAACCACATCCTTCAGATCTCAGCTTCGCTAGCAGCTGGGATGACAGATGTAAACCACTGTTGCCCAGCAAAATAAGAAAAAAAATCAATTCAATTTCATACTCAACCTGCTAATTAATGATGATCATTATCATGTAACTGTAATATTGCATATTAGAGGAGGACTATGTACCAGTTTAGATGGTAGAAACAGAAGATGTTGTCAGTGAGTTTAGAAGAAGCTACTGGAAAAACAGGAAGAGGAAGGAAGAAGTGCATATTTTTTACATTGCTGCAACCATTAGTGTTTACATGAGTCCTCCATAGCAGAGGGTACTAAATTGCATACACTCCACTCCCAACTGCTTGATTATGAGCTCTCTTCATGTTAATCACATGAGAAAGCTAAAAGCAAAAGAAATACAGTGAAGAATTGACAATATACCTAGCACCACAGACTGTGAAGGGAGTCTAAGAAACTCAGTAGAAGGTGCCATGGTAAGTGAGCTGCAGAGAATGTTCATAATCCCAGCACTTGAGAGGCTGAGGTAGGAGTTAAAAGGCCAGCCTGGGCTACATTGCAAGAGCCACCACAACAAAACATTGGTGACTAGACTTGGGTTATCTTCTGAAATGGCAGTGTTTGTAAACTGTCCCAGTTGTGGGACACATCTTCAGAGGTGGCCTTGATCACGTCCTTGGGTTCAGAAGAAGAAATGGGGAACATGGAGTGACAAGGAAGGCCCAAGAGTTTTCCCACTTAGAAATGAACAGGGCAAAAAGGAAAGAAATTTCACGTTTCGAGAAATCGCCTTAAATGTTGCTTTGAGCTACTAAAAATATTGCCACTTCTATATTAATGATATCTGGTTTCTAACCTCCACTGTGCAGTTCCATGAAGAGCCTGAATCACTGAGGCCCCAGCTTTTAGTTGGGTTGCATGTATCCTCAGCTGGTTTCTGCATAATGTTTATTGCCAGTAACTAGGACCTGAACTCAGGTCCTCGGTGCTATTTCCAGCTAACGGTAGTTAACTGAAGATAAGAGTCTCATGGATTTACTGCCTTGGGTGGCTTCCAACCTTGATTCTCAGATATCAGCCTTCTAAGTAGCCAAGTAGTCACACTTTTCACTAATAGCCATGAAATTTCTTTTATTTTATTTTTTTTTGGGGGGGGCGGTCTGGTCGTGGGGCCTGCACTCTGGGCCTGGGCGCTATCCCTCAGCTCTTCAGCTCAAGGCTAGCACTCTACCACTTGAGCCACAGCGCCACTTTTGGCTTTTTTCTTTTTGCTTATGTGGTGCTGAGGAATCGAACCCAGGGCCTCATGCATGCAAAGCAAGCGCTCTACCACTGAGCCACCTTCCCAGCCCAGCCATGAAATTTCATTCCTTCTAAGCAAATATACCCATGCCAATTCTTTTTTTGAAATAATTTTTATTGAGATTAAGTTATTACATAAATTTCACAGTATTGTGGGATAGTGATACTTATAAAGTCACAAATATTTTAACCTTCACAAGGCAAATTGTCATTATCATAATGTCATTATCTATAATGTTTGTAAATTCTATGAGCTTTGACAATATAGCTACTTCTTAAATTATTTTAATCTGGACTGGTATGTACAAAAATTATACAGCATATTTTTAGTATACAGATTACTTTTATTTTCTATTTTCCCCTTTCTCTGCAAAAACCAATGAGAGAAGCTGCTGGTGGCTCATGCCTATAATCGTAGCTACTCAGGAGGCTGAGATCTGAGGATTGAGGTTCAAAGCCAGCCCAGGCAGGAAAGCCCATGAGACTCCCAATTAACCACCACCAGAAAAGCAAAAGTGGAGCTGTGGCTCCAAGTGGTAGAGCACTAGCCTTAAGCAGAAAAGCTCAGAGACGGTGCCTAGACCCTGAGTTCAAGCCCAACGATTGACAAAAATAATAAATAAAAAAATCAGTGTCCACAAGACCATATATTGGAAATAAACTTTATAGCTTCAGGTTGGGGGGTGGGGAGTGAGGGAGGTAGGGAAGGGAAGGGAGAGTGGGAGAACAACAAGGGAGGGACTAACAATGCTCAACAAGAAATGTGCTCATTGCCCTACTCATGTAAGTGTAACTTTACAATAAAATTAAAAATATATCAATGAATAGGTTGAGAGGGGCTGCAAGAGATGGGGAGAAGGGGAAGGCATGGCGTTGGTCATAAACCATTCTACTCGTGTTGAATTGAAACCCCTTTGTACAGCTACTTAAAGGTAACTTTTTGAAATGTTTGATTCAGTTCACTTTCAACCACTTTAAATATTTTGTGCCGAAATCCTTTTAAATTAGGTTTTAAATGGGAACAGAAGAACAGTACCTGAGATGCAAAGGGGAGCTGTGAAACAAAAGGAAATGTCTTTAATCACTTAGGTAAAATAATGCATTGCTGAACATTAAAGGCCTCAACAAGAACAATTAAAATTTTGGGCTGGATTGGGTGGCACATGCTTGCAATTCCAGCTATCTAGAATGTGGAGATCAAGTGGCCAGGTGCCAGTGGCTCATGCCTGTACTCCTAGCTACTCAGGAGGCTGAGATCTGAGGATCATAGTTGAAAGCCAGCCCTGGCAGGAAAGCTCATGAGACTCTTATCTCTAATTAACCACCAGAAAACTGAAAGTGGCACTGTGGCTTTAAGTGCTAGAGCGCTCCCCTTAAGCTGAAGAGCTCAGGGACAGTGCCCAGGCCCAGAGTTCAAGCCCCCCAAAAAAAGAGAGATCAAGGGGATTATAGTTCAGGACCAGCCTGGGCCAAGATAGCAAGGCTGAATGGTGACATACACCCTGGGCATGGGATGGATGGCACACACACAGTCCTAGCTACATGGGAGGTATAGGTAGGAAGGTTGCCGTCAGAGGCTGGCCAGGACAGTGGCTCAAGTGGTAGATTGCTTGTTGAGCAAGGGCATGGCTCTGAGTTCAAGTCCCGCCACCACCAAACAATTTTTCTTTAATATTTTATTGTTGAAACTTAGAATTATGTTGACAGGGTGGAGGTGATTAGTAAATATTTGCAGAATGGATGAATTCTGAGTGGGAGCTGGCCTGAAGCTGTCTGTCTCATCTGTAGTGCCCACCGAAGACACCTATTTTACCAGCTCCAGAGTGGGAGGCAAGCAGGGAAGCATCAAGGAGCCTGCTGTCACCTTGCAGGGGCCACACGATAGCACCCTGCTGTTTGAGTCCAGATTTGAGAGTGGGAACCTGCAGAAAGCCGTCAGAGTGTGAGTAATCATGAATTTTCCCAAAGGAATGCCCAGGAGCTGCAGACAGGCAGCTTCCAGGAGGATTTCTGGAAGGGGGAGGATTTGCCAACAAAAGAGTCCATGAAGGCTGGGAAGGTGGCTCAGTGGTAGAGCGCTTGCCTTGCATGCATGAGGCCCTGGGTTCGATTCCTCAGCACCACATGAGCAAAAAAGAAAAAAGCCGGAAGTGGCGCTGTGGCTCAAGTGGTAGAGCGCTAGCCTTGAACTAAAGAGCTGAGGGACAGCACCCAGGCCCAGAGTTCAGGCCCCAACGGACCCCCCTCCCCCCCAAAAAAAGAGTCCATGAAACAAATGATGAGAATGGAGAGGATTGGAAAAGTAGGGCTCATTTTTTTTTCCTTCCAGCATAAATCATTGCCTTATTGTTTCTTCTGCCTCTGAGAGGAAATTGAGCACTTAAAATTTGTATTCACAGGGATGGGAAGGTGACTCAGTGATAGAGCGCTTGCCTTGCATGCTCAAGGCCCTGGGTTTGATTCCTCAGCACCACATAAGCAAAAAGAAAAAGCCAGAAGTGGTGCTGTGGCTCAAGTGGTAGAACGCTAGCCTTGAGCTGAAGAGCTGAGGGACAGTGCCCAGGCCCAGAGTTCAGGCCCCACAACCGGACCCCAAAAAAAAAAATTTTTGTATTCATAAAGCTGGTAGCTGGTGGCGCACACCTGTAATCCTAGCTACTCAGAAGGCTGAGATCTGAGGATTGTACTTTGGAGCCAGCCCAGGCAGATAAATTTGAGAGACTCCAGTTAACCAGTAAAAAGCCAGAAGTGAAAGTGTGGCTCAACTGGTAGAGCTACAGCTGTGAGTGAAAAAGCCAAGCGAGAACATGAGGCCCTGAGTTCAAATCCCACTACTGGCACAAACACACAATCACAATTACAATCACAATAAATAAATAAGACAGGTGCTGGTGGCTCACACCGGTAATCCTAGCTACTTAGGAGGCTGAGATCTAAAGGATCATAATTCAAAACTAGCTTGAGTAGGAAAATTTGTGAGACTCTTAATTCCAATTAACCACCAGAAACCCAGAAGTATAGCTGTAGTTCAAGGTAATAGAGCCCTAGCCTTGAGCAAATGAGTACAAGAACAGTATCCAGGCCCTAAGTTCAAGCCCCACAACTGACCAAAAAAAATTAAAATTAAATAAATAAGTAAAATTTATGTTTGTAAAAATACATAATGTAAATATCCTATAATCATACATCTCTCAGTCATATTAACTGTCTATAGTTTACTATATATGCCTGAATTTGTTCCTGTGTGATTTTGTGTAACATATGCAATACATAATATACTATTTTTTTTCAGTCCTGGGGCTTAAACTCAGAGCCTGAGCACTGTCCTGAGCTTTTGGAGCTAAAGGCTAGCACTCTACCACTTGAGTCACAGATCCACTTTCAATTTTCAAGCACCTGGCTACAAATTAAATAGATAGATAGATAGATAGATAGATAGATAGATAGATAGATAGATAGACCTTTTTTTTGGTCAGTCCTGGGGCTTGAACTCTGGGCCTGGGTACTGTCCTTGAGCTTCTTTTACTCAGTGCTAGGATTCTACCACTTGAACCACAGTGCCACTTCCAGATTTTTCTGTGTATATGATACTATGGAATTGAACCCAGGGCTTCATACATGCTAGGCAAACAAACACTCTATCACTAAGCCTCATTCCCAGCCCCAAAATTGTATATATATATATATATTTTGGGGGGGGTCTGGTCATGGGGTCTGAACTCTGGGCCTGGGCGCTGTCCCTCAGCTCTTCAGTTCAAGGCTAGCCCTCTACCACTTGAGCCACAGCACCACTTCTGGCTTTTTTCTTTTTGCTTATGTGGTGCTGAGGAATCGAACCCAGGGCCTCAGGCATGCAAGGCAAGCGCTCTACCACTGAGCCACCTTCCCAGCCCCCCAAATTATATTTTTTAAATAAAAATTAGGCCAGGTGCCAGTGGCTCACACTCGTAATCCTAGCAACTCAGGAGGCTGAGATCTGAAGATCGCCGTTCAAAGACAGCCCAGGCAGGAAAGACTTTTTTTTTTTTCGTGGTGGGGCTTGAACTCTGGGCTTGGGAGCTATTTGCTCTTCAGCTCAAGACAAGCACTCTACCGCTTGAGCCATAACACCACTTCTGGTTTTCTAGTGGTTTATTGGAGATAAGAGTCTCACGGACTTTCCTGCTCAGGCTGGCTTTGAATCATGACCCTCAGATCTCAGCTTCCTGTGTAGCTAGGATTACAGGCATGAGCTACCAGCACCTGGCTACTCTTCTTTTTTTTTTTTTTTGACAGTCCCTGAGGACAGGGCATTGTCCCTGAGCTTCTTTTGCTCAAGGGTAGCACTCTTACCACTTGAGCCACAGCACCATGTCTGGCTTTTTCTATTTTTGAGGTATTGAGGAATTGAACCAGGCTTCATGCATGCTAGGCAAGCACTCTACCACTAAGCCACATTCCCAGCCCTCTATGAGACTTTTATCTCCAATTAATCACAGAAAAGCTGGAAGTGGCACTGTGTCTTAAGTGGTAAAGTGCTAGCCTTGAGCAAAAGGAGCTCAGAGACAGCATCCAAGTCCAGAGTTTGAGCTCCTGTAACCCAGCTATTCCAGGCTAGGGCAAGAGGATTTCTTGAGCCTAGGAATTCAGGGCCCGTCTCGGCAGGTGAATGCATTCCATAAATACATCCTCCTGGTCAAAAAATTGATGACCAGGCATAAAAATGACAGCCCTCATAGGGTTCCCCAATGTGATCTCTAGGATAGTCCAACAGCAGCCACGAGAGGGCGCTATTCACTGTTTCAGAGAAATCACCCTGGTGGTTAGAAGCTGTTAGTGGACCATCTAGAAAGATGTGTAGAAGCTAAGGGAAATTCCAAACATCCCATTCCCAAGAGTTTTGTTGTTTTAGTTGGTTTTGGGTGTTTGGGGCTTTGTCTTATTTATTTGAAACAGTGTCTTCCTGTATTGCTCAGGCTTGTCTGGCTATTTAGCCCAAACTGGCCTCAAATCCATGATCCTCTTGCCTCAGCCTCCTGAGTGCTAGAATTACAGATGTGTACCACTGTGCCTAGCTTTCTTGTTTGTTGGAGCAGGGTCTCTGTGAAGTCCAGGCTGACCTCAAACTCATGATCCTTCTGCTTCAGCCTCCTTACTTCTGATATATACAGGTATGCACTGTCATCCCTAGCTAGTTAGTGAGGTTTTTGTTTTTTGCTCATCTTGGGGCTTGAACTGAGGGCCTAGGTGCTGTCCCTGAGCCTATTTGTGCTCAAGGCTAACTAGCACTTTACTACTTGAACCACAGCACCCCTTATGGCTTTTTCTGAGTAGTTTATGGGAGATGAGAGTCTCACAAGATAGGCTGGGAATGTGGCTTAGCGATAGAGTACTTGCCTAGCATGCATGAAGCCGTGGGTTCAATTCCTCAGCACCACATAATCAGAAAAAGCCAGAAGTGGTGCTGTGGCTCACGTGTAGAGACCTACCCTTGAGCAAAAAGAAGCTCAGGGACGGACAATGCTCAGGCTATGAGTTCAAGCCCCAGGACTGGCCAAATTAAAAAAAAAAGTCTCACAAGAAGTAGCACTGTGGCTCAAAGTGGTAGACTTCTATCCTTGAGCAAAAGAGCTCAGGGACAGCGCCTAGGCCCTGAATTCAAGCCCCATGACCAACCAAGATAAAATGAAACTTATTGAAAGTAGAGCAGTAGCTCAATGTGGTAGAGTCCTAGCCTTGAGCAAAAGAGCTCAAGGATAACACCCAGGCCCTGAGTTCAAGCCCCATGACCAACCCAAAAAAAAATACTTAAGTTGTTTTTTTAGTGGCACCGTGGTTCAAGTGGTAGAGCACTAGCTTTGAGTGCAAAAAAGCTCAGGGACAACATCCAGGCCCCTGAGTTCAAGCCCCAGGACCAGCAAAAACAAAGCAAAACAAAACAAGTCTCACAGGCTTTCCTGCCCACGGTCCTCTGATCTCAGCTTCCTGAGTGGCTAGGGTTACAGACGGCATGGCCCACTAGTGCCTGGCTTAGTCGTGAGTTTTTAAACTTTTTTTTTCTTCAGTGTTAGGGATCAAACCTTGCAAGTGGTTGGCAGGTGTCTATCACTGAGGTACATCCCAGCCCAAGTCTCAAGGTTCCTTTCCCACCCCAAACAAATTTTCCACACAACATGTTTCTGCCAGTTTAATATGTGACTTTGAAAGGGTAAATGGGCTAGGAATGTGGCTTAGTGGTAGAGTGCTTGCCTAGCAAACATGAAACCCTGGGTTCCATTCCTGAGTACCACATAAACAGAAAAGGCCAGAAGTGAAGCTGTGGCTCAAGTGGTAGAGTGCTAGCCTTGAGCAAAAGAAGCTCAGGAACAGTGCCTAGGCACTGAGTTGAAGAAGGAAGGAAGGGAGGGAGAGAGAGAGAGAGAGACAACGCAGAGAAAGAGAGAGAGAGAGAGAGACTTTTTTTGTGTTCCCATCCTGGGGCTTGACCTCAGGGCCTAGGCACTAACCCTAAGATTTTTTGCTCAAGGCTAGTGCTCTCAAGCTAGCTCCATTTTTTGGGTTTTGGAAGTTAATCAGAGATAAAGATTCTCATAGTCTTTCTTCAAACAACAATCCTCAGATCTCAGCCTCCTTTTTAGCTAGGATTACAGGTTTAAGCACTGGCACTTGGCTAAAAGTCAACACTTGACGTATTAAGGTTTTCAGTTTCCCATAATCATTTTGTTGTTGTTGTTGTTGTTGTTATTGGTAGTGGGGCTTGAACTCTGGGCCTGAGCACTCTCTCTCAGCTCTTCAGCTCAAGGCTAGAACTCTACCACTTGAGTCACAGCATTATTTCCAGTTTTCTGATGCTTAATTGGAGAGAAGAGCCTCATGGACTTTGCTGCCTGGGCTGGCTTTGAACTGTGATCCTCAGATGTCAGCCTCCTGAGTAGCTAGGATTACAGGTGTGAGCCCCTGGCACTGGCCCCATAATCTATTTTTATGAAATAAAAAAAAATCTATTCCCAAATTTATTTTTGCAGTGAGTGGTGAGGCTACAATGATATCTTTCTCCCTCTAATTTAGAGGCACCTATGAGTATGAACTCACCTTGAGAACCGACCTCTACACGAGCAAACACACCCAATGGTTTTATTTTCGAGTTCAGAACACCAGGAAAGATGTCACCTACCGCTTCACCATCGTCAACTTGCTGAAACCCAAGAGCCTGTATGCCCTGGGGATGAAGCCCCTCCTGTACTCCCAGTCAGACGCCACCACCTACAGCATCGGCTGGAAGAGAGAAGGAAGTGAGATCAAGTACTACAAGAGCAACGTGGATGATGGGCAGCAGCCCTTCTATTGCCTCACCTGGACCATCCAGTTTCCACACGACCAGGACACTTGCTTCCTTGCACACTTTTACCCGTATACTTACACTGATTTGCAGTGCCATCTCCTGGCAATAGCAAACAACCCTGTCCAGTCTCAGTTCTGCAAGTTCCGGGCCTTATGCCGGAGCCTGGCTGGGAACACTGTCTACTTACTCACCATCACCAATCCATCCAAGACCCCTCAAGAGGCAGCCGCAAAGAAAGCTGTGGTCCTGAGCGCCAGAGTCCACCCTGGGGAAAGCAACAGCTCCTGGATTATGAAAGGCTTCCTGGACTTCATCCTCAGCGATTCTCCAGATGCACAGGTCCTCAGGGATATCTTTGTCTTCAAGGTGGTTCCCATGTTAAATCCTGACGGAGTGATCGTGGGGAATTACCGCTGCTCACTGGCTGGCAGGGACTTGAACCGGCATTATAAGACCATTCTGAAGGACTCCTTCCCTTGCATTTGGTACACCAAGAACATGATCAAAAGGTGAGACCTCTTAGCTCTCGATAGTGCAACGAATGTTGTATGTGCTAACGCCAGACCCCACTCTCTGCTGGGGAGGGAAGGGGTTCTCCTGTGCTGTATACCAACAGATGTGGGAAGTCTTTTTGTTGTTGTTGTTGTGGGGCCTGAACTGTGGGCCTGGGCACTGTCCCTCAGCTCTTCAGCTTAAGGCTAGCGCTTTACCACTTGAGCCACAGTTTTTTCTGCTTATGTGGTGCTGAGGAATCAAACCCAGGGCCTCATGCATGCAAGGCAAGCACTCTACCACTAAGCCACCTTCCCAGCCCCATGGAAAGTCTTTACCATGTTCTTTGCGGGCAAAGGGGAATCACTCATTGGAATCACATCTTTGGAAAGATGCTGAACATGTAACATTTCAGTTAGGGTTTTTGTGTATTTTTTTTGTATGTGTAGGGTTTGTGTAGGGTTTTGTGTTGCTTTTTTGTGTGTGCCCGTTTTCGGCTTGAACTCAGGGTCTAGGAACTCTTATCTTTTTCTGCTCAAGACTGGTGCTCTACCACTTGAGCCACATCTCTACTTCTAGTTTTTTTGCTAGTTAATTGGAGATAAGAGCTATTACAGACTTTTCTGCCCAGGCTGGCTTCAAACCACAATCCTCAGATCCCAGCATCCTGAATTGCCAGGACTACAGGCATGAGCCTGTAAATCAAGGCTAGCACTCTTCCCTGAACTTCTTTTGCTCAAGGCAAGCACTCTACTACTTGATTCATAGCATCACTTCTGGCTTTTGATGAGGAATCAAACCCAGAGCTTCATGCATGCTAGGCAAGCCCTCTACCACTAAGCTACTTTCCCAGCCCCTAGTACTTTTTTTTTAAAGCCTGTCCAAAAGCAGCTGATGGCTATAAAGAGACAACAGCCACCTTAGATGAGCTCTCATTCAGATAGAAATGAAAACACCGCACAGAGGCCTGAAGGTGACTCGCCTCCTAACCACACTTGTGTGTATGTGTACCGGGGACTTGGGCAAAGAGGTGATGGCTAACTGCATGTGTTTGCTTGCCCCATGTTCTAAGACCTGGTTTTGCTGTTGGCTGAGTCTATGACAGTTCATGTCTATGAACCTCAGCTTTCTTCCTCTGTAGAGTGATGATACTCCTGCCTTGAGATTCTGGGAGTAAAATGAGATCACCCAGGTCACCTGTTTAGCGCCATATCCAGCCCATGGCACATGGAGAGCACCATCACCGTTCCCCCTTCATCCTGCCATCGTAATCATGGAGAAAGTGAACACGCCTGGTTGTTAGATTAGGCATCCTCATGATCAGGAGATGAAGAGCTGAGCCTTATAGGCACTAGTCCTGAAAAGTCAGGAACCAACACTTTCTGTGGCTTTTTCTGGGCCAGACCCACAGCTTCTCAGCCTGCCTCCTTTCTCTTCACCATGGTGGACTTCCTTGCAATAGAGATTCTCTACTTTGTTGTGAAAGTTTACAGAGGCCTACCTACTGCTGCTTCTCACATCCAAACTTTTCCATTTCAAGTCCCTGTGCCTGGCAGGGATCAGAGTTGCTGTACATATCCAGTACTGGCGGAGGATGGGAGAAGCATCCACGGAAGGCCATTGAGAGTGTCTTGGGAGGGAAAGTATCTGCTCCATTCAGAGGAGAATCAGATGATCCTGGATGATTTGCATATCTTTGGATATGCACTGAGCCCTTTGTTTGCCCCTTCCACAGACTTATGGAAGAAAGAGAGGTTCTCTTGTATTGTGATTTCCATGGGCACAGCCGCAAGAATAACATCTTCCTGTACGGCTGCAACAACAAGGACCGCAGGCATTGGCTTCATGAGCGCGTGTTCCCATTGATGCTAAGCAAAAACATACCAGATAAGGTAAGCAAGTACAGTGATTATCTGCCCAGTGACCGAGGAACAATGGAACTCACCACTGCCTAGATGTTATTTTTTAACTTGGCATTTTATATCTCTCTATTATATTTGATGAATCCCATCCACCTAGTGTCAAGAATTTAGAAAAGTATGGCTTTAAGATTTATTCTAGGTAGGCGCAGGTGGCTCACGCCTGTAATCCTAGCTACTCAGGAGGCTGAGATCGGAGGATCACGATTCAATTCAAAGCCAGCCCAGGCAAGAAAAGTCGGTGAGACTCTTATCTCCAATTAACCATCAGAAAACCGGAAGTGGTGCTGTGGCTCAAACAGTAGAGCACTTGCCTTGAGCTGAAGAGCTGAGGGACAGTGCCCAGACCCAGAGTTCAAGCCCCAAGGCCAACAAAAAATAATAATCATAATAATTCTATCAAAGCGAGGCATTGGTCACTCATGCTGGTAATCCTAGCTACTAAGGAGGTTGAGATCTGAGGATTGAGGTTCAAAGCCAGACCAGGCAGAAAAATCCCCGTAAGACTCTTATCTCCAATTAACTACTTAAACAAACAAACAAACATGGAACTGGAGCTGTGGCTCAAAGTTGTGAAGTGCTAGCCTTGAGCAAAAGAGCTCAGGGACAGCACCCCACCCCTGAGTTCAAGCCCCATGACAAGCATCAGATATACAAAATTTGGGATATCCACATGAGGAAATGTTCACAATAAACAGAAGATTTCAGTGAAATGCCAGGACACAGATGAACCTTGAACACACAGAAAAAAAGACGCCAAACACAACAGGTTACATGTTGCATAATTCCAGTATATGCAATGATCCAGAAAAAGCAGATTTTAGCTGGTGCCAGTGGCTCACACCTGTAGTTCTAGCTCTAATCAGGAAGCTGAGATTGGAGGATTACACTTCAAAGCTAGCCAGGGAAACAGCAGAAGTGGATCTGTGGCTCAAGTGGTAGCGTGAAAGAGCCCTGAGTTCAAGACTACTGCCATGCTGCACTCATGTATGCTCACACACACACACACATATATACAAAGGTTAGATTTAGTAAGGGCCAGGAGTGCTGTAATTCCCAAGTCACCGATAATCGCTTATAATCCCTGCTGTGCTAGAGATGTGGGTAGGAAGAGCATGTTTGTTTTTGTTTGTTTTTTGTTGTTGTTAGGTTTTGTTTTGTTTTTGCTTTTGTCAGTCATAGGGCCTGAACTCTGGGCCTGGATACTTTCCCTCAGCTCTTCAGCTCAAGGCTAGTGCTCTACCCCTTGAGCCACAGCACCACTTCCAGTTTTCTGCTGGCTAATTGGAGATAAACGTCTCTCAGACTTTCCAACCTGGACAGGCTCCTAACCAGAATCCTCAGATCTCAGCCTCCAGAGTAGCTAGGATGACAGGCATGAGCCACCAGCACCTGGTACTCCTTTAGCCTTGAAGCAGAAGTGCTCCTGGATTCCACTGAGTGTAATTTGAACATCATTAGATAAGGAGATACCTTGCAATGGGAGGAAACCATTTTAGCAGGACAGGATGGTAGGTGCCAAGTTCTGTTACAGTCTCCTTGAATGGGAACACGGCAGCCTTTTCATAAAAGGGAGCCAAGGATGCCAACTCCTAGTGAGGATAAGCTTAAGGGATAGAAAAAGAACAGTAGGTGGGGTGCTGGTTGCTCTTGCCTATAATCCTACTCAAGAGGCTGAGATCTGAGGATTCCACATCAAAGCCAACCCCAGCAGGAAAGTCCAAGACTCTTATCTCCAACTAACCACGAGAAAAGCGGAAGTGGTAGAGCTCAAAGTGGTAGAGCGCTAGCCTTAAGCAGAAGAACTCAGGGACAGCACCCAGGCCCTGAGTTCAAGCCCCACAACCAACCAAAGAAAAAAAGAACACTAGGCAGAGCTTTTGGAGGTAAGAAATACACAAATCATATTTAGAGGCTAATCCAGCAGATCAAGGGGTTCAAGTTAAGTGGCTGAAAATAAGTGGTAGAGCCTAATAAGGTAGCACATGCCTGTAATCCCAGTATTTGGCAGGAGGATCATGAGTTTAAGGCCAGATGGCTACACAGGGAATCCTTGTCAAAGAAAGGAAGGGCAGGAGGAGAGGAGAAAGAGAAAGAGGAAGGCAGAGAGAAAGGAGTTGTTGAGAGGAGGAGGAAAAAGAAATGTCTTAGAAAGCCTGGCTAATGCCTTGGATGCCAAATTACCCAGCATTCCCAAACAGGTGTTCTAGGATCCCTAGTCCAATGCTTCTTTTCCAGAGGGTGCTGGGTAGATAGGGTCCATGGACAAATAGAATTGGAAAATATATATTTCCTTCCCTTTGGAAGGTCACACTCCACGTTAAATGCTCTGAGAGCTCCTGCAGAGAAGTCTGGTTAGTATTTTCCATCCTTCATCTCCCTGACTCCCAAAACTCCTTCCCCCTGTAGCCTGTTGCCATCCCTCAGCTTCTTGCTTCCAGTATTTTACAGAACCTCTTATATCATGAAAATAATGTCTAGGGCTGGGAAGATGGCTCAGTGGTAGAGTGCTTGCCTTGCATGCCTGAGGCCCTGGGTTCGATTCCTCAGCACCACATAAGCAAAAAGAAAAAAAAGCTAGAAGTGGTGCTGTGGCTCAAGTGGTAGAGCGCTAGCCTTGAGCTGAAGAGCTGAGGGACAGCGCCCAGGCCCAGAGTTCAGGCCCAGAGTTCAGAAAATAATGTCTAGACCCTCCCCCGTCAAAGGAGCCATTCTTGTTTCATAGTAGTGAATCCTAAGGCATCTTGTATTTGCTAGTTTGTAATCCACAGACTTTGGCCTTCTCTTCAGTTCTCTTTTCACAGTTGTAACTTTAAGGTCCAAAAGTGCAAAGAAGGCACAGGACGTGTCGTGATGTGGCGGATGGGAATCCAAAACAGCTACACCATGGAGTCCACCTTCGGAGGCTCCACCCTGGGTAATCAGTCCCTCCTTCAGGCACCCACAGGGCAGCTTGGCTGGAGGAAGCCATGCCCAATACCTGAGGAGATGGGGCCTGGGAATGTCGGGGAGATAACTGATCCAAGAGGATTCTTTGGCTCACCTCCACTAACCATGAACGTAGAATATCGTATTTTCATGGAGCAGCGTCCTAACTGCTTAGAACCCAGAATCGGACAGATGTTTGAATTTCAACTTACATTTACTTATGATCCTGAGTTAATTATTGAAGCTTTTTGTACTCTTTTTCCTTTTCCTTTTTTTTTTGTGGGACCTGGGGCTTGAACTCAGAACCTGAACACACACACACACATACATACATATACACACACACACACACACACACACACTCACTGTCCCTGTGCACTCTTGCTCAAGGCTAGTGCACTACCACTTTGAGACACAGTTCTACTTCTGATTTTCTGGTGGTTAATTGGAGATAAGAGTCTCACAGCAACTTTCCTGCCTGGGCTGGCTTTGAACTGAGATCTTCAGAACACAGCCTCCTGAGTAGCTAGGACTACAGGCATGAGCCACCAGTGCCCAGTTTCTCATTTTCCCTTTAACTGGCAAGAATCACAGTACCGGCTGTATGAGATGGTGGTGCCTGCCACAAAGAAGTAGCTCAGTGAGCACAACCGTCATGATAGTACACCTTAACATGTTCCCGTTCTTCCGAACCAGAGGACCACTAGGAGAGCTACTCATACATGCGTAGAGAAACACAGTGTTTTAGAATCAGAAGTGGTGTGTTTTTCTTAAAAGTTGTTCATACATTGACTCACTTTCAGTCCTAAAGATTGAATAAGAAATATCTTCTTGTTGTTGTTTTCCAGGTAGCAAAAGAGACACTCACTTTACCACTGAGGATCTGAAGTCCCTGGGCTATCACATCTGTGACACACTTCTGGATTTCTGCGATCCTGACCAAACGAAGGTAAAAACGGAGGGTCAGGAAATGTGGGACCATCAGTTTGATCAGTGTCACATGCCGCCGGCTCAGCCCAGCAGGACCACAGGTGACCTTCCTTGTCCACTTCATATCTCCCTGAAGTTTTTTGTGTAATCGATTACGGAAGTCCCAGCCTGCATACTGTTGGCTAATGGAAAGACTTGGTAATCAAACATAGGGAGGAAACTATCCTTTAGCACCCCTGTCCCGCACTTCTAGGCTTAGTCATGACTTTTTGTCTTTCTTTTTTTTTTTTTTTTGCCAATCCTGGGGATTGAACTCAGGGCCTGGGGCACTGTCCCTGAGCTTCTTTTTTCTCAAGGCTAGCACTCTACCACTTGAGCCACACCACCACTTAACACTTTTTTTTTTTGGTCGGTCGTGGGGCTTGAACTCTGGGCCTAGGCGCTGTCCCTCAGCTCTTCAGCTCAAGGCTAGTGCTCTACCACTTGAGCTACAGCACCACTTCCAGTTTTCTGGTGGTTTATTGGAGATAGGAGTCTCACGGTCTCTCCTGCCTGGGCTGGCTTTGAACCGCGATCCTCAGATCTCAGCCTCCTGAGTAGCTAGGATTACAGGTGTGAGCCACCAGCACCTGGCCACTTAACACTTTTTATGGTTAAATAGAGATGAGGGTCTCATGCACTTTCTTGCCTAGACTGACTTCAAACTGCAGTCCTCAGATCTCAGCCTCCTAAGTAGCAGGGATTACAGGTATGAGCCACTGGTGCTTGGCTGCACCAAATCTTGCTTGCTTCCTTCAGTAAACAGTGTCCATGGCACTCTTATTTCAAAAAATAAGGGGTCCTTTCTCCTCTCCAAATCTAACCATGTACCTCAGCCTCCCCTATGGCCTCCCTAATATCTTACCTCCTATGTTAACTCCTGTCCTTTCTGAACTCTCAGTTTGTTACTCTTTTGCCTCCCCTGACTTCAGGTGTTCTCAGTGGGCCCTCCCCTAAAACAGGGAGGTTTCCTTTGCCTTCTTCCTCCAGTAGGCGATCCCCGCAACACTTCACTCTCAACTTAAAGGAGACTGTGCATCCATAGTCCTTGACTCATCTTTCATAGTTCCTCTGACGTGTTGGCTGGATGTGCACCAGACTGGATATGATGTTTAACAAAAAATAAATAAAAAGAAAAGCTGGGCACTGATAGCTTATGCCTGTAATCCTAGCTTCTCAGGAGGCTGAGATCTAAGGATCACTGAAGCCAAGAAAGTCTGTGAGAACTCTCATCTCCAATTAATCACCAAAAACAAAACAAAATAGCATTGAGCAAAAACAGAAACAAAAAAAAAAACTTAAGGTCAGCTGTACACAGGCCCTGAGCTCAAACCCAGGACTGAGAAATAAATAAATAAATGGGAAATTTGGCCTCAGTGTGTTCTGTTTAATCGTATCTCTTCCCTGTGGCAGTGCTGGAGGTAGAATCTAGAGCTTCTCATATGCCAGGCAAGTGCTCTACTCCTCCAGCCAGCTCACCCTTGCCATAAACCAAAATCAGAATGCCTTACCACCCAGAAAAATAAATCACACCATTGCATTGTTTCTATTGCTATAGCAACCGAAAAGCGGTATAAAGCCATGTTCACTGATCTTCTGCCCTAAAATCATTCTGTTTCCACAGCTTATGTAACTTCTCTGTCAACATGTCCCTAGCAGCAGGGATTGCAGCTTTCCAGGCCTCAGTGGTGAATGAGGTTACTCTCAGCTGGAAAATAAATCAGTAATTATTAAAATAGTTCTTTTTTTCACTGTCACAGTTCCTTCAGTGTCTAAAAGAGCTTAAGGAGCTCTTACACCAGGAAATCTACAAGAAGTTCAATGAACTTGGACAAGTCATGAATTTAGAAGGAAGTTGGAGTGATATTCCATTATCTGATATTGAATCCAGGTAACAAACTTCATTTCAAAGAAAAGACAAAGATGTTCTGTTTATTCTTTTTATTTTTGGTGGTACTGAGGGTTGAAATCAAGACCTTGAGCTTGCTGGGCAGGTGCTCTACTGCTGAGCCACACCTTTAGCCCTTTTTTGCACTGTTTATTTTGGATAAGGTCTGTCTTTTTGGTAGGGCCCAGCGCTGGACCAAAATCGTCCTAGAGACTGAGAAGGAACCAACAAGCCTGGAAGAAAACCAGGGGAATGATTCTTTTTTAAAAACTGATAGCAGTCATTCTTGTGTTTATCATACTTCAGTGGCTCCCTAACTCACTCAGATTCATATTTTTTTAAAAGCCCCTACAGTGGCCGCCAAGACTGTGGATGTAGCACCTGATCCCTCTGTGACTCCCATCCTTACCCTTTCACAGGCTGATACTACACTTTTCTGGCTCAGGGCCTTTGAACCTGCAATTCCATATGCCTACAGTGTTGTTTCTCCAGGTAGCCACATGGCTAATGCCAGTCTTTGCTCTGATATCACCCTTTTCAATGTGGCCCATATTCATCACACTTAATACTGCAGCTTGCATGTCTCCTACCTCCTTTCCCCCAATCTTACTCTCCTGCAATTTCCTCCACAGGTGCTCTACCTTTTTCCTTTTTTTTGGGGGGGGGGTCCGGTCGTGGGGCCTGTACTCTGGGCCTGGGCGCTGTCCCTCAGCTCTTCAGCTCAAGGCTAACGCTCTACCACTTGAGCCACGGTGCCACTTCCGGCTTTTTTCTTTTTACTTATCTGGTGCTGAGGAATCGAACCCAGGGCCTCATGCATGCAAGGCAAGTGCTCAACCACTGAGCCACCTTCCCAACCCATGCTCTACTTTTTTCATAGCATTTATCACCCTTTTTGTGTGCATGTACCTGCACATGCATGTGCATGCATGTGTGTGTGCGTATACTGGTCCTGGGACTTGAACTCTGGGCCTTCTTTTGCTCAAGGCTAGTGCTCTATCACTTGAACCATAGCTCCATTTCCAGCTAGCTTGGTGCTTGATTGGAGATAAAAAGCCTCATGGACTTTCCTGCCTGGGGCTGCCTTTGAACTGCAATCCTCAGATCCCAGCCTTCTGAGCAGCTAGGATTACAAACATGAACCGCCAGCGCCGCCCCGCTGGTCACTCTCATCATCTATATTTACCATGACAGTTTTTATTGTCTTTTGTTTATTGTCTGCCTCCCTACTCCAACTAGCAGAGAAATTCTATAAGATCAAAGATCTTCATTTTGCTCACTTCTGTGCCATGTGCCTGGAGTGGCATCCATTATGTACCCAGCACAAAAGGATAGCCAATATGTTGTTTACCTCAGTTCCACTCTGATAGGTGCCTTGGCTCTTTCAGGATGGAGGTAAGTAAGTATCCTGTTCTGTGCAGGAACACCCTCTCCTCCAGCTTGCCAGCCAACAAGGCCCATACCTTATAGCACAGCTCTCAGTTCTTGCCAGCCAAACCCCAGGAAAGGGAAAATTCAATGGGACACTTGGCAAAGAACCTGAGCCTTACTAAAGAGAAAAGGTGAGAAGTTTAGTTTAGATATACAGCCACAACTTGTGAAGGGAGAATTGGGATGATAAAAGTAATGCTCACTGGGCACCGGTGGCTAACACCTGTAATCCTAGCTTCTCAGGAGATCTGAGGATCAGGGTTCAAAGCCAGCCCAGGCAGGAAAGTCCGTGAGACTCTTATCTCCAATAAACTACTCAGAAAAAGCTGTAAGTGGCACTCTGGCTTAAGTGGTAGAGTATTAGCCTTGAGAACAAAGAGGCTTGGGGACAGTGTCCAGGCTCTGAATTCAAGCTCCTGGATGGGCAAAAAAGAAAAAAAAAAGGAAAGCTCCTAGTTGGTTGGCAGTGGCTCATGCTTATAATCCTAGCTACTCCCAGAGCCTGAGATCTGAGGTTCCCAGTACAAACCAGCCTCTGCAAAAAGTCTTTTCTCCAATTAACCACCCAAAAGCTGGAAGCGGAGTTGTGGCTCAAGTGATAGAGTTCTAGCCTTGAGCAAAAAGAGCTCAGGGGCAACGCCCAGGCCCTGAGGTCAAACCCCAGGAATGGTATGTGCGTGCATGTGCGAGCATGTGCACACACTCACACACATGCACACAGTAATATTCTTTCAGTGCACTGAGCTAACGTACTACTAGCTTCATGGTATAATCGGTCTAGCATGTATGAGGCCCTGGGTTCAATCCCCAGCACAAAAAATAATACATTTAGGGGCTGGGAAGGTGGCTCAGTGGTAGAGTGCTTGCCTTGCATGCCTGAGGCCCTGGGTTCGATTCCTCAGCACCACATAAGCAAAAAGAAAAAAGCCGGAAGTGGCGCTGTGGCTCAAGTGGTTGAGCTAAAGAGCTGAGGGACAGCGCCCAGGCCCAGAGTTCAGGTCCCATGACCGGACCCAAAAAAAAAAATAATAATACATTTAGACTCTGGCTTGCAGGGTGCAGATTCTTTCATTAATATCTAGACAGATAGATAAATAAATAGACTCATCCATTAATTCATTCAACACAGTTTTACAGAGTACCACTAGTACCTATAACAGGTTCTATCCAGACAGAAAAGAATGAAGAAAAGCCTGTGTTCTCAGACAAGTCCCAGTAAACTACTGTTCTCTAGGACACATGGAAAATTCCTGGGGCCCTTACACCTGCTGCCCAGGGCACCTTTGCCCATCTGCCCAGTATTTACTTTTGCCACACAGATGGTGCACTTCTTGGTGCAGGAGCTCTGCCTCCTTCGTCTGTTCTCTCTGCCTAACATGCAGCGCGGTAGCAGTGGGTGTTCAGAATGAGCATGCAAGGGTGCTTGTCCAGAATTCTTAGTAATGGGAGCATGGACAAGACCGCAAATAGTAGGCCAGATATGCAAATCCTATGCAGCTAGTCTAGTGCATCATACATATACTCCCTTCACATGTTGTTAATAGTTACTTCTCTTTCTTCTTTCCTTGTGGATCCAGCACCAGTGGTTCTGACAGCTCTCTCTCAGATGGCCTCCCTGTTCACCTACTGAACTTAGTGGATGAGGTGAGATGATAACGACTTTTTTTTTGCTGGTCCTGGGGCTTGAACTCTGGGCCTGGACGCTGGCTCTGAACTCTTCAGCTCAAGGCAAGTCCTCTACCACTGAAGCCACAGTGCCAACAGAGACGCATATTGCCATGCCCAACTTATTGTCTGAAGTGTGGTCCCACTAACCTTTTACCCAGGCAGGCCTTGAACAGAGATCCTCCTGAACCAGCTTCTCAAGTAACTGGGAGTACATCTTACTTACAAAAGCCACTTTATGGTAACAACAACAACATAAAAAGCTAACATATCTGTATATGTGTGTGTGCACGCACACATGGATGCACCAATACTGGGGTTTTGTGCTTTCATTCAGCTTTTTCCACTCATAGTTGATGCTCTACCACTTGAACCACAACTTCAGTCCTTCATTTTTCTGGTTTAATGGACATAAGAGTCTCCCAGACTTTTCTGCCCAGGCTGACTTCAAACCTTGACCCTCAGCCCTGTCACTCAGATCCTCCTGAATGACAAGGATTACAGACAAGAGACACTAAGGTGCAGCTAAGTCTAGATGAGCCAAACACTAGATGACCCAGGAGTGTCTCTCCATGACTTTATTCCATACGTCATCTGGTTTCATACTGTGAATAGCAGGTATCTCTTTGGTCGTCACTGCCCCTCTGGCTGTGTGTCTGTAATAGTCCCCATGGCTGTGCGTGTGTGAGTGTGCTGGGAGATGAGGTAGGGGACGCCACTGTGAGGCCATGCTCTGGGCTGGCCTGTGCTGTCCCTGTCACCATGGGGCGAGCAGAGCTGCAGAGGCTCATGACCAGTCTCTCTGCACTTTGCCACACAGTTGAATCAGAAGAAGAAGATGCTAAAGAAGAAAAAAAAGAAGCCACTTCAGACCCGGAAACAGCGAAATGAGCAGTACCAGAAAAATCATTTGATGCGGGAGTTGACGTTACTAGAGGATTCCCCAGTAAGAAAGCCCTTCCTCCTGCTTCTGCTGTCTTCTGCTCACCGTGTCCCACAGAGGGAGCGGGGGCCAGGGGGCTGGGTGGGGCCGAGCTTGCTGTTCTGAGGTGAGATTTCTTCCCTGCAGCCTCTGACCATCTCTGAGCATGTGTCGGCCTCAGCCCCTAACCCTTTGCTCTGGCACAAGTCTGACTTGTGACCACGTCTGGGCTTTCAGAGGAAGGCAGAGGTGCTGCCTCAGCAGCCCGGCATGGTCCAGAGTGACTTGGTTGGGGTTCAGGATGCCTGGAAGTCCCTCTTCCCCCTTGCTCCAAGCTCTCACACCCACCCACCCACCCCAGGGTCTCTGCTTGCTTGCTTGCTTGCTATATTTCTAGTCCTGGGGCTTGGACTCAGGGCCTGGGTGCTGTCCCTGAGCTTCAAAGCTAGCACCCTACCACTTGAGCCACAGTGCCACTTCTGGCTTTTTCTGTGTATGTGGTACTGAGGAATTGAACCCAGGGCTTCATGAATGCTAGGCAAGCACTCTACCACTAAGCCACACCCCCAGCCCTGACTCTCTGCTTTCTAAAGACAGAAAATGACCGCAGAGGTTACAGTTTTGTTACTGGGTAAATTGAATTTTTATGAATGGATCAACTGAAGAATATTTTCCTTTCACCCAATCCTCCTAGGGAACAACGGCAGGGTTTGCTTCTACTCTGCCAAAGCAGTCTACCTTTTTAAAACATATGGAGAATCCCACGGCTTCAACAACGAGAAATGACAGACCAAGGTTCACTGAGGTAATGGCTGTGTCCGACCATTTCTCCCACAGGTTCTCTGATTCCTCCATTAAGCATCTCTCTCCCACATGGGAAGTAGGCTAAATTTATATTGCCCTCACCTAACAGTTCCATCGGACATAAGGGAGCACAAAAAGTGGGGTGTGGGGAGGACACTAACACGGCTTTGGGTTAAAAACCACTGAAGTCTGAGGTTAAGTACTGATATTTGTGCTTTTTTTGGCCATTTCTGGGGCTTGAACTCAGGGCCTGGGCACTGTCTTTGAGCTTCTTTTTGCTCAAGACCAGCACTCTACCACTTGAGCCACAGCTCCACTTCCTCATTTATTTTAGACACAGTTAAGCGGAAGAAATAAAGGCACCTCTCTGGACTCACCAGTGGCCTCCCTGATTCCACCAAAGAATAAAGAGACCATGCAGGTACTTCCCTCGGGGGACACATCTGTGCCAGCAGTTCATTGTCATTCATTTGCAGGTGCATGATGTGATTGGGATGGCGGGTGCCACAGTCCACAGCTTTGCCTTTTCAGATCTCTTCTGCTGCCCAGGCAGACATGTCAGGCACTTTGCACCCTCAAGTTGAAACCACTTCCTTACTATGGGGCACAGCCCAAAAGGTATTGCAGGACCAGAGAAATCTGACCTGGAGCTGAAATTGATCTTTTTTTTTTTCCAGTACTGAGATTTGACTCACTTTTACTAAAGGTTGACACTCTACTACTTGAGCTATACCTCTAGACCTTGTTTTTACTGATTTGTTTGTTTTTTGCCAGTATTGGGGCTTGAACTCAGGGCCTGGGCACTGTCTCTGAGCTGCTTTTGCTCAAGGCTAGAACTCTACCACTTTGGCCACAGTGCCATTTCTGGCTTTTTCTGTTTATGTGGTACTGAGGAATTGAACGCAAGGCATCACGAATGCTAGGCAAGCATTCTACTACTAAGCCATATTGCCTCCTCCACCTCTTCTTCCTCCTCCCCTTCCTCCTTTTCTTCCTCCTCTTTCTCATCTTCCTCCTCCTCTTTCTCTTCTTCCTCCTCCTCCTCCTCCTCATTATTATTATTATTATTATTATTATTATTATTTTGTGCTAGTTCTGACACTTGAACTCAGGGCTTGGTCACTGTCCCTGAGCTAGATCTCTGCCATTAGAGCCTCAGCTCCACTTCTGGCTTGTTGGTGGTCAATTGGAAATAAGACTGTCATAGAGTTTCCTGTCCAGGCTGGCTTTTAACTGTGATCCTCAGATCTCAGCTAATCAAACCTGAGTAGCTAGGATTACAGGTGTGAGCCACCAATACCCAGCCAAATTTTATTTTTCTAAAAAAAGTCCAAATGAATTCATATGTATCTCTATGACAACATCTCTCATGCTTGCTTGCATGTTCTGAAACGTAGGAAAGTGGCTAGTGGCTAGTGAGCCCTCCTTACAGATAGCCCCGCATATGTCTCCAGGAGGGCGGTGCTCAAATGTGTGTAGGTAGAACAGGTGAGTATCAGTGGATTAATTTAGATGAACTAGACACAGGATGGACAGTTCTAAGGTGAAATCTCTGCCATTTTCCCCAGTCAGTTGTTTGGCAATTCCTGGGTGGATGCGCTCATTTACCTAGCAGGGTCTTCTAGAGGACCTGCTGTGTGGGGCCCTAGCCGACGTAAAGACAGGATCTTCTAGAACAGATGACAAGACCTAGTTCACCAGATGCTGCAGAGCAAGGAAGAGAAAGCTTTATGAAATCATATCCAAGAGAAGCATCACAGATGGGTGAATGAGGAGGTGCCCTGTTTCCTCACTCAGCATTCACCTCGCCAAGTCTTTGGGGAACAAAAACAGATCCACAGCAGATGGTGCAGGCTGGGCTGTAAGCACTGCTGTAAAGGAAGCAGTTAAGCACAATGTGCTGAACGCATGGCGTGCCATCTTTATCATTACTGCACTTGCTTGAGATTTCCCGCGGGATAGTTCTCTTATTAGATTCTACAGCCGATCAGATAACAGGGCTGGTCATCGTCAGCGGTGTGGATGCATTGTTTCCTCTTCCTTGGTGTACCATTTGTGGACAGCAGTCTCTCAATTCCTAGGGCAAGTTCAACTGGAGCTCATGGAGTGTGTGACTTTGCTCCACTGACCTCTGCCCCGCACCAGTGGTGACTACTTCAGTATCTGGAGGGGAAAGGCAGGCCTGCTTACCCACTCCTGGTCAGTCTACCCTTAACCTTAACTCTAAATGTCCAAAGTGCAACAGAAAGTAAGCTCACCTCTTGTCTTGTTTGCACAGAACAAGAAGCCAGGCTTTCCACCATCATGCTCTCCAAAGAAAAGCACAAACTCCAGCTTGCCACCAGCTCCGCAACCAGACTGGCTGAAGAGCAAATATTCGGCCACAAGGAGAGGCCGCCCCTCCATGACTACGTACCCGTCCCTGCACATATACACGTACCCATAGGCAGGCCTGGGCTGTGCTCCATGGGCACCTCCTCCGAGGGCTTGGCTTGTGCACACTGCGGAAGCGGGAAATGTATGTGTGCAAAGTGCTCAGATTTGAGGTACCCTGGCACGGCCCTGGTACTTGTGCTGGTGCACATCTTCAGGCGCATACCACGTGAGTTCAGATAGGCCTCCTCTTAGCCAATAGTTATTCTCTCTAAAGTTAGGTGCAAATCAATTATGAAAGACTTTTCAACCTCTTTCAGAAGCATATTATATTTTTTTTAAAAAACACAAAATGTCAATACCTCCAAACGGTAAATGAAAATGTAATGTCATATGTATTATGTTCAACAAGGTTATGTGAATTTTTTTTAACTCAATGATTAAAATTCTCTCTAACCAGATGTTTCTTGTGGTTGGCTAACTGCATATTGTGTGAACTGACCCTTGCTGTCAGCCATTTGTTTCCAGAGGTCCCCGGAGGGACCAAGCCTAGCCTTCTGGCTGCAGCACGGCCTGTTGTGCTGGAGTCACAGTTAAAGAAGGCAGAGAACGCTGGGTGCTGGGGGCTCATGCTTGTAATCCTAGCTACTTGGGAAGTTGAGATCTGAGGATTGGGATTCAAAGCCAGCCCAGGCAGGGAAGACTCTTATCTCCAATTAAACACGAGAAAACCAGAAGTGAGCACAAAAGCTCAGGGACAGGGTCCAGGCCTGAAGTTCAAGCTCCATGACTTACGAGAGAGAGAGAGAAACTCCAAGTACTTGGTTCAAGAGGCAGAGCACCAGCTGGGAGCAAGCTGAGCAAGAGCACAGATCCAACAAGCAAGCAAAAAAGAAAAAAAAAAAAAGCTTCAGCTCATGGAGGCCAAGCCCTAGCTTCTTTTCTTTTTTCTTGTCACATTGGCAAATTAATTTTCTTTGTGCATATATGCCAATACTCCGCACCTTGAGCTCTTCCTTGGCTTTTTTTTTCACAGCTGGTATGCTGTCATTGGAGCTACACCTCCAGTTTCCTACCAGTTTCCTACCACATTGGATTGGAATTTTCTCCTTATCCTGGGGTGTGTGTGTGTTTTGTGATGCTCACACTCAGAGCCTCTTACCTACTAAGCACTTGCACTGTCATGGAGCTACATTCCTAGTCACTTTTGAACTCTTTCAGCTACCTATAGGGTAGTAATTAAACCACAGAGCAAAACAAATTTTATTGCAATCCCAATGTGTGAAACTTCAAGAAAATTGTAGAACACTTTTAGAATTGCCAAGAAATTGAACAGATTCTTCTGAGTTCCCAGCTACTTATGAGGTAGAGGCAGGAAGATCCCAAGTTTGATGCCAACCCAAGCAGTTTACTGAGACTGTATCAAAAGGAAATTTCCCCAAAAGGATTAGCCACAGCAGAAGAATGCTTGTAGAACATATATGACACCCTGAATTCCATCCTTAGCACTGCATAAAATGAAATAAAATCCTTAGTTTTTGGACCTTGTAACCTATTTTGGGTCCTAGAAATATCTGGTATCGGTCAGATGGCTTTTTTCCCTCTGGTTTTGAAAAGTTGACAACACCTCTTGAAAAAGGCATAAACAAATGTGAGTGTGTAAGGCAATGGCAGGAAGCATTTTTTCTAAGTTTTTGATAGAACAGTATAAAAACTTTATAGATACAGGAACAATTTGAGAGCATTCTAATTTTATTCTTATTTTTATCATTGAAACGACAAGAATCTGAGCTGAGTAATTCTAACACTCAGAAAACTGAGAAAGAGAATTACAAATTGGAGGTCACACACATACACCCCCAAGAAAAAGAAATCACCCATCAACCCTTGGCAGTTGGAGGTTTGACTCAGTTGGTAGAGCACCTGGCAATGAGCAAAAGCATCAGGTACTGAGTTCGGGTCCTAGTCTCAGACCAAAAAAGAAAAGAAAAAACTGGAGTCATTCTGGGCTACATATGAGACCCTGTGTCCAAAAAAAAAAAAGTGTAAGAATTGTGGAGACCTGGTACGTGGCCACTCTGAAACTTTCATGTTCATTGATCACAATATTAATTTTCTGTGGCTATAACTTGATGCCAGAGGCCAGCTGATCTGTCATACACAACACACACACACACACACACACACACACATGTTTCTTACAGTTTGGGAGGCTGGCAAGTAGACGATCAAGCATACCTGGTAGGAGGGCCCCTTGCTTGTGGTTCCTCTTTAGAATCCCAAGGAAATACAGAGCACCTCATCGTGAATGAGAACAAGTATGTCAAAGAGAACTTGCTTTTCATTTTATTTTTCTTAGAGAGTAGTTCCTTAATAATTAACTCACCAATCCATTTATGCCCTCCCAAAAAGTCCATCTCTAATCCTAGGCTCCTTAGGGATCTAGTTTCCAATACAAGAGCCTCGGGGGATGCATTCAAACCACACCAACAACTATTGGACAGAAAAAGAAAAAAACACGTAAAAGGATTTGGCTATGGGCTGGGAAGGTGGCTCAGTGGTAGAGCGCTTGCCTTGCATGCCTGAGGCCCTGGGTTCGATTCCTCAGCACCACATAAGCAAAAAGAAAAAAGCCGGAAATGGCATTGTGTCTCAAGTGGTAGAGTGCTAGCCTTGAGCTGAAGAGCTGAGGGACAGCACCCAGGCCCAGAGTTCAGGCCCCACGACTGGACCAAAAAAAAAAATGAATCATCCTGTCTTGAACTCAGAACCCCATTTGTGCTGGGACATCTATCTGCAGCAGCTGAATCTGAACAAGCCGGAAATGGCGTTGTGTCTCAAGTGGTAGAGTGCTAGCCTTGAGCTGAAGAACTGAGGGACAGCACCCATGCCCAGAGTTCAGGTCCCATGACCGGACCCAAAAAAAAAAAAGGATTTGGCTATGCAGAAATAGAGTTGCTAATCTGAGGCTTCCCAAGCTGTTCACAGACTGATTCTGGTTTCACTATGTGGAAGGTTAGAGAGTGGTTTCCAGGTCACAGACTTGGCACCTTCATACAAGATGCCTTTGAATCAAGCTACAAAGCCTCTCCTGTCCTTTCCACAAGAAGACAGACTGAATGGCTTGGCTAACTTTACTTGCACTAAATTCTCCAGAGCCATTTCTCTTTTTTCTTTTTCTTTTCTCCAGTGACAGTTCTGTTCATTTCTTAGTGGAATATTTCCAGCTCATCTCGGTTCAGGCTTGCCAACATCCAACATCTTTACCACTTTTTCTTTGCTCTCAAGCTGCCTGATCAACGAAAAAATGTCCCCAGTTTATTTTCCCTGTGAGTGGGTTCCAGGTTGGCTCTACAAAGCTGAGTCATGTCTATCATTCCCTATGGAATCAGGCTCAGAAAGGGCCTGTGAGTGTATGTTCGCTAACAAAATAAATACCATGGTGTTTAATAAGGATTGAAAGAAAAGGAGATTCCATGGGACGGGTGGAGTGGGTAGGAAGGTGGCTGAGTAGGTAGGGTGCTTGCTGAGCATGCATGAAGCCCTGGGTTTGATTCCTCCGTACCACATAAACAAACGAACAAACAAAACGGAAATGGCACTGTGGCTCAAGTGGTAAAGCCACAAGCGGTAGAGTGCTAGCCTTAAGCAAAAAGAAGCTAAGGGACAGTGCTCAGGCCCTGAGTTCTAGACCAACTTCCAGCACCAGAAGGAAAGGGTAGGGAGAAAAGAAAGAACAAAGGAAAGAGATCCATCGTCCACCGCAGCAGCCACAGCTCTGCATTGCCCCTGGGATATGGACCTCAACAAGGGCCACAAGAGGCTCAAGAATGTGAACAAGCTGAGGCCCAGGCCCCACTCCAGACATGCCAAGCTCACCAAGTTCATGGTGTTCAGATTCAGCTGCTGCAGATAGATGTCCCAGCACAAATGGGGTTCTGAGTTCAAGACAGGATGATTCATTTTTTTTTTTGGTCCAGTCGTGGGGCCTGAACTCTGGGCCTGGGTGCTGTCCCTCAGCTCTTCAGCTCAAGGCTACCACTCTACCACTTGAGCCACAGCGCCACTCCTGGCTTTTTTCTTTTTGCTTATGGGGTGCTGAGGAATCAAACACAGGGCCTCAGGCATGCAAGGCAAGCGCTCTACCACTGAGCCACCTTCCCAGCCCCAAGACAGGATGATTCTTGCCCTGTGCCAGTAGATCACACCTGCAATCCTAGCTACTCAAGAGGCCGAGATCTGAGGATTGCTGCTTCAAAGCCAGCCAGGGCAGGAAAGTCTGTGAGACTCTTTATCTCCAATTAACCACTAGAAAACCAGAAGTGGCTCAAAATGGTAGCGCATGCTCCATTGAGCAAAAATGCTCAGGGAGGGCTGGGAAGGTGGCTCAGTGGTAGAGTGCTTACCTTGCATGCCTGAGGCCCTGGGTTTGATTCCTCAGCACCACATAAGCAAAAAGAAAAAAGTTGGAAGTGGTGCTGTGGCTCAAGTGGTAGAGTGCTAGCCTTGAGCTGAAGAGCTGAGGGACAGCGCCCAGCCCAGAGTTCAGGCCCACGACTGGACCCCCCAAAAAAAAAAAGCTCAGGGACAATGCCCAGGCCCTGAGTTCAAGCTCCACGACTGACAAAAAAAAAAGACTTTGTAGAAATAATTTAATTAATTAAAATTCCACTTTCCTTTCTCCTGCCTGGCTTCACTTCCTCCCCCACTCAGCTCGGACTCCAGGGTCTGGATATAAACGCGCTCTTATCAGCACCCAAGTATTCTCGCCCTCTGTTCTTCTGCCACCACATCCACCTGGTATTTCTCCAGAATTTGGTCAGCCAGCCACCCAAAAACCATCTGTCTTCTCTGCTCCTGTAACTGGGCTTGCAAGCTAGCTGCAGGAAGAGTGGGCCCGAGCCCCCCACATGCATCTCCCGCAGCCGGCACAGTGTCCTCAGCTCCTGAAGCTGAAGCTCCCTCACCTCTCCTCTTTGCTGCTATTTCATGACTTCCCTATGCCTCAAGTCCTCGGCTCCCTCACGACGACCTCCTTCCCCCCAGCAAGCACATTTGCTAGATGTTAGTCATGGCTCACGTCTGAAGTCCCGGCTTCTTGGGAGGCTTTGATCTGAGGATCACTGTTAGAAGACAATTCAAGTACGAAAATCTGTGGCCTCAAGTGGTAGCAAAGATAGTCTTGAGTGAAAAAAGCTGAGTAAGAGCACGAGGCTCTGCGTTTAAGGCCCAGTAAAAGAAAAAGAAACACAAAATCTAGAGTCTGGCATTCAGGCTTCCTGGGTCCAAAACACACCAACTGTATGATCTTAGGACAGTCACCCTCTCAAAGACTTCTTCAGGCCCAGTGCCGGTGGCTCACGCCTGTAATCCTAGCTACTCAAGAGGCTGAGATCTGAGGATCTAGGTTCAAAGCCAGCCTGGGCAGGAAAGTCTTCAAAACTCTTATCTCCAG